GGGGGGGGGGGTGCAATCTTCTATGATATGGTAATTTCTAGGCCTAATAAGCAAGCTGTAGTCAAAGGACATTGGAAAATAGGCAATGCAGTAGGGGGCACGAATGAATGCCAAAATTAAGAAAATGTTTTAAAAAAACGTATCTCTGCCTACCCAGAACTGCCAGCTCTTCGTAACGGTGCTAACAAACACTGAAAATATAGCTGCTGTCAGCTCATCCTTACATAAAAAGGGGCTGGGGTTTTATATTTCTTTATGTTATTAGCTCTTGCGACATATCTGACCAGGGGCAAATGCTATACACTGCATAATACTGTAAGTGTTCCTTACTTCTATATACCTAGAAAGATTTGGACAAGAAGTTCATGATAGTGGCAAACCCAAACCTCATTCCTAGTCCATGTATGGTTTTATGCTTCCTGCTGCAATATAGTATTTCAGTATCACTGCAGATGCATGGCTTTAGTGTGTTTACAAATGTCTCCTAAAACCAGGCATCCCAACCTGAAAGAATTCATTTCAATAGCCAATAGCAGACTGGCTATTGCTCCGGCCCACTTTTGCTGTCAATCAGCAGAGGAGGACTTGATGTAGAACTTCAAGTCTACCTCTGCTTATTGACAGCAGAAGAGGGCGGGTGCAATAGCCAGCCTGCTATTGGCTATTTCAAATTGAAATAACCAATAGCAATCTAGCTATACATTTCCATGCTGTCTTTTTTTTTTAATTTTACTCTGATGGTGGCCGGTGGTTCCGATGTCGGAGTAATAAAAAAAAAAAAAACAGACAGAAGGGAAAGGTTTACTCTGCTAGATCGAGCAGAGTAAACCTTTCCGGAATAAAATGTTTCTCTCCCAGGCATCCGGGAGCCACTATTTTATAGCGGGAGACTCTTGAAACATCCGGGAGAGTTGAGATGTCTGGCTAAAACATATCTGCCACCATGAATTAGTAAGCTTGTGTTAACAAAATGGGAAGAAAACGAAGACTGACACTGTGCCACGACACTGTTACTTAGGGCTTGTTCGCACCAAATGTGGACCAGATCTGCATGTGTTTCTGCACATGCAGTGCAGTGTGTTTTGCTGCGTTCTTGCCGGGTTCTGTGCTGTTTTTAAATTAATTTTTTTAGCCTAAAATGGGCTTTCGGTGTATTCCAGGGCGTTTGCATGCATTTTTGATGCTTTGCATGCATTTTGTTCATTCCAGAGCAGAAAATATAGGGCATGCTGCAGTTTTTCCACATGTTCTGGAACTGAAAGCTGTGGTGTGAAGAGCCTAAAATACAATTGGAATACATTGGATGCAGTTTTGATGCGTTCTGTAACTGCTCTGCTCTGCATCTGCTCCGTACTTGCTGTGAACAAGCCTTTACTGCCAGTGTAAGCCTCTTCTTATCATATGTATATAGGCCACTTTACAGCACAGGACAAGTCTATATAGGGACCCTCCCCAATGCTGTTGTGTTCCTAAATAAATTTAGTATTTTTGATGCTAAGCTGTAACCAGCTTTAGCATCCTTTTACTTTTTCATGGCTCCTCGGGTCTTCCCTAATCTCAGGGGGTTAATTGCTTTTGCCTATTGCTCTGAAAGAGGTTCCAGCAAACAGAGTCACTATTATGGGTGTGTATCTGACTTAACCAATCCTTTAACTGCCTCCGGGCCGGCCGTAGTAGAAAAACGGCCGGCCCAGAGCTCTCTAGAGGTCTGCTCAGACACGCCCCCTCGCGTGTTGTATAATACATAACGTCCGCATTCTTGTGTCACTCTCCAGCTTCATAAGCTGGAAAGAAGCTGATGGAGCAGATCTCTGCTTCATCAGCTTCTTTTGGGGGGTCCTAGGTGACATTAGGGGTCTTGGAGACCCCTGATGTCTCCATAAAGAGGACCTGTCACATATTTACATATTTTGCTATCACATAGGGAGGGGGGGGGGGGGTTATTAGCCCCCGTATGTGATAGCAATAAAGTTTAGTGGGGGAAAAAAAAAAGGAACAAAAATTAAGTTCCCCAAATTTAAAGTTACACATAAAAAAGCATTAAAAAAAATACAAAAATTTAAAGTCCCCACACATACATACACGCATGCAAACATGCGTCGGGGACGCATACGTGCAAAAAAGACGATTGCGCCCATTATGCCGCACATGTTACATATCGCCGCGAACGTCCGAGTGAGAGCAATAAGTCTAGGGCCATCAATCACTGATAACACTAAACTGATGAGCGGTAAAAGCTTTTAAAGTGTCGCCTATGGCCAATTTTGGGTATGGTAGTTTTCTGCGATTTCGCGGCTGCGTGCAATTTTAAAGCTTGACATGTTTGGTGTCTATTTACCCGACGTGACCCGATCTTTTATATTTTACCAAAAAACTGGTTAAAAATAAATGTTTCCTAACATAATGTAAAAAAAAACGTTTTTTTCCAAAATTTTCTGTAATTTTTCCTAATTATACTAAAAATACCACCAAAATAAATCTCTATCTGTCCCCAAAAAATGGTATAAAATTAATTTCAGTACAGCGTTGCATAACGAAATAAACGTCAGTCAAAGTACCGCAGCGCTGAACACTGAAAAATGGCCTGGCCTGGAAGGGGGTCTAAACACCTGGTCTTGAAGTGGTTAATGGAGAATTATGAGGTGAGTGCTTTTCACTCACCTCATAGTTCTAGCCGACCTGTGACAATGAGACTGTCACAGGTCGGCTCAGTAGATCGGGAGGTGAGCGAACATATACCGGCGTTCGCTCACCTCTCGATCCTGTCACGGCTCCCTGCCGTGACAGGGGAGGGGCTGGGTGCCTCCCCCCCCGCTCCGATCCGCCAGCGCTGACTGGCGGAACGGACGGGGGAGGGGGCGGGTACAGCTGGCTCTGCCTCTAGATAGGCAGAGCCAGCTGTCAGTCACGCAGCTGGGTGGATCCCGGCATAATTGTCGGGGTCCGCTTCAGCTGCTGCGTCTCAGTATACCGCGAGCTACAGTTCATAGGTATGGTTTGGGAGATGATAAATATTTGGCTCACCTTTCTAAAGAATCTTCTTGCTGAAGAGTGTGGCAGAGTAGTTGGGTGGAAGCTACCGCTGGACATTGTGAGAAGGATTC